AACACTTGCTTCTCTTTCTCTCCCAGCATTCAATGTTGATGTTGTCCAGAGGACATTTTTCTGACCTATGATAAACAATTGCGAGGATAAATAAAATCAATTCTTGTAGAATATAAGAACAAGGGCCCTCCCTGGTGGCGCAGCGGGTTAAAGCACAGCACTAAGAATTTAAAGCCACTTCAGCATGAGTTCAATCCCAGCCTGCCATAGAGGTGACCCAGATGGCGCAGCAGACCTCTCCTGACCTGCCCGCTGCTCCCCTCAGCAGTGTACTTCATCAATCTGCCTGTTCTGCTCCCCACTCTGTCTCTGGTGAATCCTCTCACTGCCCCTGCACCTCTGGCCTGTACCCCAGTTCTGTATGCACAAATAAATAAATCTTTTTTTAAAAAGAAAAGATCATAGGAGCAAAGTTTGGCTGGAATGGGTTTAGGAGAAAAAGAGAAAAGAAGTTCTGTAAAGGAGAAAGATACTCTTTACAAGATCACCAATGAGTGTAACATTCTCACATCCAGTTTTGTCTATGATGCTTCTCATTTGTGTCGCTCTCGTGCTACTTAAAAGCCTCCTTTTTTAGTTTTAGAAGTGTCTGGATGATAAAAATGTCATGTGCAACTTCCCCAGACCCTGATGATTCTTCTTTAAAAATATTGATATATCCAGGATCCAAGTGTTTTTGCCAGCGCAGCCACCATCTCCTCTCACCAGCTGTAGTTTGTCTCTAAAAGTCGCTGTTGGGGGTGGCCAAGTGCAGAGATTTACTGAGGGACTGGATAAGGGCAGTAATAAATTAGACCTTGCATCCAAAGGTAATAAGGCAGTAATAAACTGGGCCTTGCATCTAATTAATGGGGCCTTGCGTCCAGGATGGGACTAGATGAACTGGACCTTACATCAAGGGACATAGTGATGAGCCACCCTTTTGGAATTTGAGTTTAGAATCTACATAAGAGATCCTTCCCCCCTATAGGGGTGGCAGTAGCTGCGGACCCCACTCTAGGGGCTCTGTCTCGGCTGCTGTCCGGGAGCAATAAACTCTGCTTGCTCAGCCTTTCTGCCTCCCGCCTTCCTTTCTTGCGCTGGTCACAGAAGTTGGGACAAAGCAGTTGCACCTTCAAGCTGGTGCAGGCAGGGAGTATGACCACCACCACCCATCCGCTGACACAGGGCTGCCAGGAGAGAGCGAGGTCACTCACTCTTCCTTCACTCAGCAGTTTGCTCCTTTTTCCAACCCCTCACCACCCTCCCCCCCCCTTTCATCTCCACCTGTTCCAACTCTTCTGTCACCCTAAAATACCTGATTCTTTCTGCCTGTCACACTGAAAAACAAAGGACAGGGATTGAATCTTTAATAAGCTCTTTAACTAGATGAGCAAGCTAGTCTGAAACCAGGGAGACTGGAGCTCCCAAGAAAACCATTCTAATACCTCATCTCTCACAGGCTACTTGGTAGTGAGTTAAGTGAAAGATTGGTGCACAGAGAAATAACTTAGTGGGAGAGCATTGGGTATCAAGGCAAGCGGAGTTTATTTGCCCTCTCCAGCAAGGTTCAGGGACTCAGAAGAGGGAGTCCAAGAAGCTGAGCCCCAGAGCAGGGTAGGGCAGTTTTTATGCTTGTCTGGGAGAGTGAAATGTTGTTTTTGCAGAAGTACAGTTCCGGGAGTTGTTTTGTGCTGTTGCTGTTGATTTGTATCGAGGACCTTCGGCCATTGTCTGCACCCAGTTTTGGGTGCCTACTGGTATAGAAACTGAAGTCTCAGTTCCCAGGCTCTGAGGCCTAACATTTAAGGACCATTAATTATGAGGGACTTCTGAGAGGCTTTACGGTGCCCGTTGGGATGGCTCAGTCTCTGACAGAAATGGCCTCCATTACTCTTCCAGGCGCCTCTGGGACTGGAATGATAACTCAGCGCAAACAGGTTACAGGTCAAATATATGTGTACACGCAGATTCCTTTTCTAGGCACAGTGACTTTCTTACCTCTTACCCTCGCCCCTACCACTTTCCCTCAGAGAACTCAAGGGCTAGTATCATCTCTTAGCTCATCAAGGCAAGCTAGCTGTCACTGCACATAGTGTAACGGGGTGGTCCCCAGGAAAAGGGGATGTTCCAGGTTCCCTGCCCCACCCAGAAGGAGGGTGGAGCTGAGAAGAGAAAGAGAAGAGAAGAAATCTGAGAGAGAAGGAAGCAGGATGGAGAGCCAGAAGGAGACCTGAGGAAGCCACAAGGAGCACAGGGAGGGATGTGAAGAAACCGTGTTTATTTCTTGGCCTTAGACTGGTTGAAAGGGATGTGGGTGAGAGACCCATGGGGAGTTGACTATGGCAGTGTTGATATTGATTTTGCTTTTTCTCTTTTCCTCCCAGACTTGTCTGTCCAATTCTGACCCTTTTCTATGGGTCCCAGCCAGAAGGTGCTTTAGTCTTGTGGCAGCTTTCAGGCCTTGCTTTGGGCCAATCCCTTTTGGGTTGACTTTTGCCCACGAGGGGATGGGTAACTTCAGGTGTTTGATTTAGAAATTATATTCTTTGTCTTCTGTATTGTATATTCACTGTATTAAAGTCCCTTTCCATTAAAGTCTTATGTTTTGTCTTGATGTGGCTGATCGCAGAACCTATTTAGGTTTGAGTTATCTCTGAGAAAATTTTCAATAGAGCTCCCTTTTCAATGGCATGGGGGAAGCTTACTAAAGAAAGGACGTTTGCATAGACAAAAACTTTTTTAAAAAAGATTTATTTACTTATGCATACAGATCTAGGGTATAGGCCAGAGGTGCAGGGGGCAGTGAGAGGCTTCACCCGAGACAGAGTGGGGAGCAGAACAGGCAGATTGACGAAGAACACTGCTGCAGGGAGCAGCGGGCAGGTCAGGAGAGGTCTGCTGCGCCATGTGGGTCACCTCTGGGGTGGGGATCAAACTCATGCTGAAGTGGCGTTAGCTTCTTAGTGCTGTGCTTTAACCTGCTGCGCCACCAGGGGGGGCCCAGCCATGGCTTTTTTTATATCTTGAAAGGACAGATTAGGAAAAGGAGAAAGAAAAAGAGGCACCTGCATAGACACAGGAAGGCAACCTAGGGACAAGAGCTTCATTTTGCCAGCCAGGAGTTGTGATTTAGAGTTATTTTAGGGGATTCATCCGTTGATGAATTCATCTCCATTTTTATAGGATTTCTGGTAGCATTCCCACCTTAAGACTTTGAATTTCCATAGCTGGGTTAATGAATATGTTAATCATTTTTATCCCCACCTCCACTTTCTGGTCTTGTGAAACTTCCTAAATTCTCTCCTCTAAGCCTCTATCACTAGTGGAACATACAGAAGATACTGCTCACGCCTAAAGACATTAAAGAAATCTTCATAGATGAAATGATCACGCTATTTGAAATCTGAAGTGGGTGCTGAGTTAACTAAGGAAACATAGTTGGGGAAAAGCATTGACGGAAATCTTATTTGCAAATATTCAGAATAAAGGGTATATCCTAGGAGCTGCAAGTGTGGTTCGAATTCCATGGAGCACAGTGAGTGAGCTCTCCAGACTTTAAACTGGAGAAGTAAGCAAGTCTACGAGGGCTTACGGACTATCTCCTTCTCTAGACACACTTAGTTTAGTTGCCTCACCTGGTAATAGGAATTAGAATCACTGAACAGCTCCTATTTAACTAATTAACTAATTAAACTAAAGCACAATGAAATCAGCAAATCTCTGTAAAATTAGATGTAGTAGGTGTTTCTGTTTGTACAGAAGTGCTATTTAAAGAATTAAAAGGGAGTTGTAATTACCAATTTCAGGGTGAACCACTTAGAAAATTACTATGTCCTTTAAGTTTTAATACAAGCCTTAAGGAATGTATTACCTGGTACAGCAAAGGTAATAGTAAATAATAATTATTAGATGATACAATAATATTATGTGATATAAATAATAAAATAATAATAGTATGTGATATAATAAAAATAGCCTTTCCACCAAAGAAATGAATATCAGCCCCCCCCAAAAGACATTAACAGCAAAAAACTTTAGCTGCTATAATTTCTTTCAACCTCCACATTTGCTGCTATTTATTGGAAACTTGAGTGTGTGGACTTGAATGAAGGATTCAAAACTGAGTCCATCAAGGGCAGGACCACATACATGCACCTGCACTGGTTGAGCTTACAGGAAGCAGCCCCACCCCGCCCCACCCAGGCCCGCCCCACCCTGCCCAGCCACAACCAGGGCCAATGAGTAACAGCCACCACTTCCAAATCACAATGAATTTGGCTTCAAAACAGCCCTTTCCCATTTCCTCCTAAGCCTAGACCTTCCCAGGCTTAGGAGGAAGTAGAAAAGGGCTGTTTTGAAGCCAAATTCATTGTGATTTTTGTGATTGTGTTTGCTTGTCTCAGGTGGCAATCCCTTTGCTATTCCCAAACAGATTGAGTTCGACAAGATCTTGTTATTTCCATTCATGGTTGACAGCGTAAATGCTCCCATGGTTCCAGGTATTAGTGGAAATAAAAGCCAAGCTCAAAATCATACATGAAATGACTTCTTTGAGAACAAGTCCCTAGTATTGCTTTGCTATAACAGCTCATAAAAAGTGAACTTCCACCTGCAGGTGAAAGGTAAGGGGGTGGTGTTGCTGAAGGGCAAGTCCCTTTCCATCACCAAGGATTTAAGAGCTGAACCTGCACCCACGGTCTCATACAAAGAATAGTTAAAAATCCAGAGCAGTTCTTGTATTCTAAGAACGTTCTGACCCGTGAGAAGAACACTTGTCTGTGTTTAAACTACGTGTCCAGCCTTTGCTCAGTCTTGTTTCAGTCTTCTCTTCAGCGAAGTTCGGCAGGTGCTTGTCGTAACGCGGAACCCTGGAAACCACCAGGCGGCGCTGTGCTTTTGAAGGGCTGCCTAAGACCGAAAGGCAAAGGAAGGAAGTATGACCTGCTGGGCACCCGTAGCTCGGCTCGCGAACGACACCGGAAGTCATTGTGCCCGACGGCTTCCTCCGTGGAAGGGCTTTCTTTGGGCCAGTCCCCAGTCCTTGGGGGCTAATGCTGTAAGTCGGCAAATATGGACACAGCGCACAGTGCCCCGACGGCGGGCAAGTTCGTGGTGGTCGGCGGCGGCATCGCTGGGGTCACCTGTGCGGAGCAGGTAGGGCTGGAGCGCCGCGGCTCCGCCTCTTCGACTCCGGGCTCCTCTCAGTCCCTCCGACCCCACTTTCCCCGCTTCCTGCTCTCCATAGTCGTACAGGGCCTGTCAAGTCATAGTAAACATTCCACAGGAACTTACAAGTGATCAATTGATGGTGAGCTGTGGGTATTGCGGTCAAATGAAAAAAATTGAAAGGTGACTAGTTAGTGTTTGGGGGCAAAGACACCTGTTTAACATGAGACTATAGAAGGTCACTTTGAAAGTAATTTTAGTAGCATAGTGTTTTGAGAACAGGGTCTAGCAGTGGAAACAGCAAGAAGGGAGATCGTTACAGAATAGAGAGACGAAGGAAAGATGAGAAAACCGGTTTATTCTCAATATACTAGTAAATTTGCATAGGATGATACTAAAAAAGAAACCGATGGGGTTCCAGATTATAAAGGTAACTAAAGCGTGCAGTTTTCATGGTGTAATAGAGAAAAAAAGAGATTGGTGGAGTTGAAGAACTGAAATGTGAGTTAAAGTGTTGTCAGTGAATTTAAAGGAGAGGTGGCTAGAAAAAAAAAGATGAAATCAAAACAAGAAAAGCTTTGAAATGTTGCTTAAGTAATATTGAAGAAGATTTGTCTTTCCCATTTTATATTTGGTTGGACATTTGGAAAAGACAGAATAGGAGTTACAGAGAATTTGGGAAAAGGCAGGCCAAGATGCTAGATGTTTATTTTTGAGGCTGTGATTTCATACCACTGAAGGCAAATGAAACTTTTAAAAAGGAATTGACTTAATTGTTAATTATGAAAATAGTATGGTCTTACCCTGTTTGATAACTTTAAATTGATGTTAAATCACTTAAATAATTAAGGAATACTTTCATTTTTCTTGTATAGGAGATCTTTGTTAGTATTTACTGTAAATGTATTATTGTCAGTATCAGGATTGAACACTGCTCACTATTATCCCATAAATGTGAACAAGAACCCAGGATAATGGAAACCTTTAGACGAAGAACAGGGAGGTGTAAGTTGACTGTTAATAATAACATTATTAAAATAACATCATCCCTATCTCACTCCACATACTGTGTATACTAAAACCTAACATTACATTTCATTTTTTTCTTCCTACTTAAAAACAAATTAGTTGGCTGTTCAGTTTCCATCAGAAGAGATCCTCCTGGTAACAGCTTCTCCAGTTATTAAAGCAGTTACAAATTTTAAGCAGGTAAGAACCTTTACATAACTTTCTTAATATTAAATTTTATACTAAAAATACAATAACTTATAAAGTAACACATATTCTTTTGCTAGTTGTCTTTTGCTAAATTCAAAACTCAATAGTTAGAATTATTGAGATTGCCAAAAGGACTCAGAATGATACTGGATTTCTCATCTTTTTGCCCCTCTCTCATCTTTACCATCCCTTCAAATCACCACTGAGAAAATCATAAATAAGTTTCTTTTGAGGAAAGATGCGATGTTAATCTAAATACAAATGCAGATATATATGCATGTCTTTACAAATGTGTATGTGTTTACAAATCAGAAGAAGAGAGTTTCTAAGTTGAGTTTGCACTAGCAGATAATCACTGTTTCAGATAAATACTATGCATTGCACAATCATTCCATGAATTTATATTACACACATGACATTTGAATAAGATCTAAGGTCATTCAAATCACAGTGTTGTAAAAGGGGGTCTACAAACATTTTTAATTCTATATTTTACCTGCTAAAAAAAGTTTTGCATTATCAAACAAATATATGTATACTTACATAAATTGTACATAAGTGTTATTGTCCTACAGTCGTGAATATTACAGTACCATAGTTTTTTATTTAATACAAGTTTTTCCTTATAATATTCTGATAATAGAATATAAATTTCTTATGTTATGCCCCAAACCAAAGGTAATTTCATGCCCTTTGTGTCTCCTTTATAGTACATTTGATATGTTAGTACCTGATAACAGCCAGAGGAACAGTGGCATTGAAAGGCCCAAAGCACACATGCTGGCTATGAGGCCCTCCCTGGTGATGCAGCAGGTTAAAGCTGTGAAGCTATCCACAGCCACTGCAGCATGAGTTCACATGGTATGCAGAGCTCTACTGACCCACCTGCTGCTCCCCTCAGCAGTGGATTTCAGTAGATCTAGCTGTTCTGCTTTACCTGTTTGCCCCACTCTGGCGAATACTCTTACCCTCTGTACCCCAGTTCTTGTATGCATAAATAAATCTTTTTTTATTATTAAACCATTACTTTTTAATTAATGGTTTTAATTACAAGAGTCATTGCTCCTGTAATGTTAGGATAATACTTCCTTGCTTGTTTAACAAGACTGAATTTAAGGATTACTAATATATGTGAAAGCACATTGAAGTAAAAACTTTATACAAATATCAGTTATTCTTGGTATTCATAAGTAAGAATTCCATCCTTTATCTATACAATGTATAAGCCATTGTGGTAGCCCCTTGATACAGAAATGAAAATATGGGACAGACACCAGAAAGTCACCAGTGGTTGTCTCTGGAGTAGAGGGAGGATTTAGAGAGGGACTAAAACTCTCTACATTATTTATTCAGCATTATAAAGAGAACATGGATCCTTGACCTTATGATTTGTAAAGGAGAAAAAAGGATGAACAATAGCTCTTTTATAGCATACTTACTGTGCACCAAGCACTCTAGAACCCTGTGGGGGTGAGTGAGGCACAGTGAGGGGAGGTCAGTTTCTGAGGTTCATAAAGTCAAGCTTTATGAACTTGCAGGGTCTCTCAGTCTAGAACCCTCATGATTAATGAGAAATGCTTTTTCAGAGTGATTACTTTCTCTTGGGTCGACAGATAGGCAAGCCATGGTCATTAGACAATATGATGTCTAGCTTGATATGATATCTAGCCTGATAGAATTTAAAAAAAAAAATTGAGGTTGTATTCCAATATATTTAAATATATTGGGACTGAGTGCCAGAACCTACCTTTACGAATCAGGAAAAGGTTTTACATAAGAGGTTGCACTGAAACTAAGACTTAACGAATAAGTGAGCTTTGCCTTTTTTTTTTTTTTAATAAGAGGCTGAGGTGGAGGCAGCCATGTACCAGACTGTGAAGGATTGTATAATCACTTCCTGTGCCTGTCCCAGGTATAAATACCAGCACATTATTGGATATCAGTTGTAGGTTAACCAGTAGTCAGGGCCAGGTCATAACTAAATTTAAATCTGAGTTAAATGTTTGATAACTAATTTTGGAATGCCAGACAGCGGAAGTATTTCAGGCAGGAGAGAACACTGAGTTGGTGCTAACAGTTTCGCCTTCGTGGCAGTTTCTGTGTCACGGGTACTGTACTGGGGTGCAGTTTCCCTGGAGTTACAGTGAGAAGAGCCCCGTGACGCCAACATCAGGAAAAAGGAGAACCTGAAAATAGCCATCCCTCTTATTAGTCTTAGTTCATCGAAGAAAATGAAAAAGCAGTATCCCTGACACAGAAAAGCAAAGGTTTCAATTCAGAGGAATAATGAGCTGTGTCAGTCTCAGTGGGATAATCAGCTGAGAGGATGACTCAGAAGTACCCATTTCTAGGAACGGCTAGTGAGGGATTATTGGGGGTGTTGGTGGTGGTTGGGGTATGGTGACATGCACCTGAAGAGGTTTGAGCCTTATCCCCTAAACATCAAAGGGTTTAGGGTTGCCTCAGTAGAAAAGGATACAGTTTTAAGTACCCATTTTTACTTTATCATTAGTGAGTGAGACCTTTTATACTATTTTGAGAAATTAATGGATGGTAACTTTAATATAACAATAAGCCACCTTTTCTCTTGAAAATAGGCTGCAAAGAGGAAAAAAAATGGGGTGGCAATGAAAGTATTCAGTTTTATTTTTTTAAGGTGGACAATACCTTAGCATATTTACCGGTTGAGATTAAGAAACCAGTGGGAAAGGCTGCAGGTGAAGATGGACAAGGAGTGCATAATGAGAACACATTGCGGAGGCCGGAGGCTAGAGGCCAGGAGTGGTGCACAGGTGAGACTCTCACCTGGGGAAGGTAGAGGTGGACGTTCGGTGGAGAACATGCTGTAGAATTTGTCAGTATTTCAAGCCTGGCAAGAGGGGAGAGTGGGATCTGCTGAGAAGGAAGACCGTGTCTGGGGGACGTGAGGTCAGTAACAGTTAGGAGGACTGTGTGACAGTCCCTGGCCGTGCTCACTGCGCTGACCTCGGCACAGACTGCACAACTGCATTGTTTTAAGACAGAGCATTGCAATGTGGGCTTGCAAGGGGGTTACTTTTTTCCACAGAACATCAGTTTCACTGGAAACAACAAACTGGCTATAATTGGTAGAAGGGTAAAGTGAGCTTTTCAATTCAAGGAAGGCAACTGGCTGTATTTGTTGCCAATATGACAGGACTGAGGTTTTTAAGAAAACATGAGTATTTTAGAAAACTATTCTTCACTGTGATCTTCGTGATACTTTAATAATTTCTTGATGAGGTCATTGGTGAGAATAACAAATGTGATAGGTCGATACTGTAGTAACAGGAGAGGCGCCCCATGGGTGGTGCTCCCAGAGCCATTTCAGAGTGCAGCAGACCCATTGTCAGGTTCTGCACCCACCTGACCTTCAGCGACCACACCTGTCGCACAGGAGGCCATACTACTACTATCTGTAAAGGCTGCCAGTCTTTGAGGGCCAGACTGTCTTGGCATGCTCCAGCCAGAACGCCTGCTGCAGTCTGAGTGCAGAGCAGAGGTGCAGCTTTGCTTCTAGGAAGACCGGCCACTGCAGAGATGCAGAACTGGAGAGCAGTACCATTCTTCTCTCCTAATTTGTTTTTTTTTTTTTTTCATTAAAATATATGATGGACCATCCCTGGTGGCACAAGTTAGGACACAGCACTGCAAACTGGCCATAGCTGCTTCTGTGCGAGTTCGATTCCCGCCCTGGAGGTGACTCACATGGTGCAGCAGACCTCTCCTGACCCAACTGCTGCTCCTCTCAGCAGTGTACTTTGTCAGTCTGCCTGTTCTGCTTCCCATTCTGTCTCTAGATACACACACACATATATGATGCCCTGTGGGGGCATCCACCGTGTGGTGGATGGAGGGGTAGGAGGTGGGCCAGTGTTGTAGGGCGGGGTGCCCTTGGTCTCTGACACTGCCCCCAGTGAGCCAGCAATATCTCCTTACACGACTGGACCCCACCACTGGCTGTGCCAATTGCTAGAGGCCTGAGAAGATTATGAAAACAGGAAAGTAGAGTTTGGAGACTTGGATTGGGGAACAATGGTGGGAATTCAGGCTAGCCATGGGGGAGGCCTCAGCTGCTGCCACTGTGAACCCTGGTCAATGATGACGAGACCACTGCGCAATCTGAGTTCATGGTCTGGGAACCAGATGATGGAGTGTGTGCTGAGCTTGGACTGAGACCGGGGTAGACAGATACTCTGTTTAACATGGGTTACATGTATTGTTACTTTTAAGTGAATAGGGAATATATAAACTTTTGGTCATTTTCATTTTCTAATGTAGCAAATGTCACTGGGTTTAACCACACAAACATGCTCTTTGGGGCCCCATAGTCATTTGTGGGATTGTAGTGGGGTCCTGAGACTGAGAACCGCCAAGGCCACATGGTAGGATTTCCCTGCAGTATTCAGGGAGCAGCCAAAGGCATTCTGTAGGGTGTGGTTCTTCACTAGTTGTTGGTATAGGACTAGAGAAAGCAGGTCATTGATCTGCATTTGAGGGTTTGGGTTTAGTTACTGAAGATAATAAATGACCCGCTGTAGAGTCTTACCCAATTACAAAGGAAAGTGAGTCCAAGAGGACGCCAGTGATTGTGGAGAATGGGAAGAAAGTAAGAAGACGAGATCACATAAGGTCAGCCAGTGAGAGGGCTAGAAGGGGAAGGATGTAGGTGCGTTGTTTGACTATGGTGTGTACACGTAAGTAGTCCTAGCATTCATTTATAGGCCAGGAAACTAAGGCTCGGTGACCAACCTACCTAGCCCACAAGGGGTAGAACTGGTGTTTGAGTTCAGGGCTTCCAGTGCAGATTCCACTCAGTCCAGTCTAACTACGGCAGAGTACACAGGTGACAGGCTTTCTTGCTTTTTGAGCAGGGACTGAGTATAATAATTCGTCACTTGCCATCATAGGGAGATTCTTGGAAACCGACTTTGAGTGCAACCACAGACAAAGCTAGTGCTCCCATAATAGCATTTCCTGGATTGTTTTATTTACATTTTAATGGGGCTGTTATCTCATGACCTGCTGTAGGCTATAAAAAAAAAGAAAATATTTTTATTTAAAATTCATGGAAAAAAATTTCAGGGATATATTTTTTACCTCTTTGATCTAACGTAGGTTTCTAAAACACTGGAAGAATTTGATGTTGAAGAACAACTAAGTACCGTGCTAGAAAAGCGCTTTCCCAACATTAAGGTTATAGAATCTGGCGTGAAGCAACTAAAGAGTGAAGAGCATGTAAGTGAAATTTTTTTTCTTTAATTATGTTTCCTTTGTTAAATCTTGGTGAAATTTTTCTTATCTTCCTTTGGCCTTGCCTGTACTCCCTCTAGCACCCAAGTCTGTAGCATGTATAGTTTAGTTACATTTATGCCCACTGTTAGAAACATTTGTACTTCCCGTGAATTTATTGGAATTATATAATTAGTTGGTTAAGCACTTCAGGTTTCACATTTCAAATTAGCATTTACATTTGTATGAGTACTAGAGCTGAGATAGGAGAGCACTAATATAAGGAACTTGTTCCTGGGAGCTCTCAGTGTACTAAGAAATATGGGCACACAAACATAATTAAGTGGACAGTAAATGGACAGCTGTCAACTGAGAAGCTGTATGTGCACACTGGAATACTATTCAGCAATCAGAAAATAAACTAATGCCATTCACAGCAACATGGGTGGAGCTATTATAAGTCAGTGAAATAAGTCAGAAGAAAAAGAAAAATAATCAGATGGCTTCACTCATGGGAGGAAGATAGGGAACCAAATAAGGCATCAGGGAAAAGAGTAACAACAATAACAAATACAACAAAACAGGAATAAACAGGCAACTGTAAACCAGGGACATTCTGCAGGGGCGGGGCAGGGAGGGAGGGTGGGCTGCGCTCAGGGACTGGTGATGGTGCATGGGGGGCTGGTGGTGGAAAGTCTGTGGGGTCTATGCTTGAGAAAAGGAAGCAAACATAATTCAAAAATGAACAATGATGTAAAATATACATAAATTAGGAAAAAAAGTGCAGCCACTGAAATATTGTCAAAGCTATGATAGTAGAATTTTAGGAAAATTTCACAGAGTAATATTTGAGCTGCGTTTGAAAAGATAGGTGGAACTGGGGCTCTCCAGGTGAAGGATGACCTTCTTAAAAAAGGAGACTGTATGTGCAAAGACCCACAGGAAGTAAGGGGGGCTTGTGGAATAGTGAGGTTGTCAAATGATGGGGGTGAAAAGAAATAAGGAGACTGGCAGACCAGGCCAGAGAAGTGGGAAGATTGTGAAAAAGCTTTCTGTCTTGTGCTGAGAAACTTAATCTATTTGGAAATCAGGGGAGAAATAGATTTTATGGGGATAATGGTGTGGATTTTATGTAAAAGATGTTCTTTTAGCAAGAAAACTCTGACAGCAGCATCAGGAATGGAATCAGGGGTACAAAATTATGCAGGACCTAAACCAAGAGGCGGAGATTGTTGAAAAGAATGGTCTATATGTGAGTGAGATTTTGGCTGTGCACTCAGGGCTCAGTAGCCTGTTGGAGATGAGAGTGAATAGGCCCTCACAGGAAAGGATATTAAGTTTACAGTGTCAGATGAACTTTAAGTAAGATGGAAAATAGAGTTTGTAGTTACTTCTCTAAAGCTCAATTTATGAATTTTCCCTAGGAAGAAAGCACATACATATTGAAACACAAACTACTTGACAGGAAAGAAAAAAGTACTAATTTTCCTAAGAAAGAATACAATTTTAAATCCTCAACCAGATTAAGTTCCTGATATTTATAGTGGTAGAACATAACCCATGTAATGTGCATGTCCATTTATTTGCAAATTGAGATGGGCTCAAAAGTAAATTAATAAATTGTGAGGGAATTTCTGTTAGGGCATCTGATGAGTCCGTTTCTCCTATAACCTTGAAAGTGTCCTTTAGAAGTTTTTGTCTACCTTCTCCTAGCCAGCTTTTAATATTCTTTTGTGCATTAAAGATAAATGTTTTACCTTAATGTCTACTTCCAAAACTTCGACAGTAGCCAATAAAAGAATTTTTGTTTTTGTGTGGTGAACTGTTCTTAAATTTAGTTCCTTTAAATAATATTTGTCAGTTAAGGTTCCAGATTATCTGGGGGAAAAAAAGAACAACCTGTATAGAATTCCTGTGTTTATATTGTACTGGATTATTGGGTTTATGTGTTTGCTGTATAGCTGAAGAGTTAAAATGAGTAACAGGCACTTCGTGCCCAAGTGCTCTGTTGTAATTTGCCAGGTTTTATAAAATAAAACACAAGAAATACTAACCCCTAGACCATTCCAACAAAGTCTGGCATCTCATGTTATAGCACATTCTTACCCTTATGTCAGTCTGCTTTCTAACTGCTATTATTTATTTCTCAGTATTCATTCAGGTCTGGTATATGAGAAGGTGCATCATTAATCATCTGGGAAATGCACATGAAAATAACTAAAATAATCATCTCCTACTTGTTATACTAGCTGTATCAAAAAGGCAACAAATAGGTATAAGCAAGCACGTGGAGTAAAGGGGGCCCTGACGCACTGTTGGGGAGAATGTAAATTGGCCAGCAGCTGTGGAAAACAGTATGGCAGTTCCTCACAAAGTTAAAAACGAATTCAGTGTTACCCGCTGCTCCCCTCAGTAGTGTACTTTGTCAGTCTGCCTGTTCTGCTTCCCATTCTGTCTCTAGTGAATCCTCTCATCTCTCCTGAACCTCTGGTCTATATCCCAGTTATGTATGCGTAAATAAGTTTTTATAAATAAATGAATGAATAAATGAAAATAAAAATTAATATAAGTTACTTAATCACTGGAAATTCCTAGGATTTAAAGTTAACATATTTTTCACTTACATGAAAAATAATCCCCAAAGAGCATTTACTTTGAGGGTAAAGTGGTTATTTGTTCTTAAGAATATATGATTATGACTAGCATGTCTAATCTTTTCAGGTTAAGAAAACATTGTAGCTTCTTTTGCCAAACAGTGCTATAACAGGTACCAAGGTGAAATAAGATTAGAGTCTCTAGATATTCTTCCAGTAGCTTCCATTGAGATTAGAAGTGTTCACCAGGGCTCACCCAAATCTAGTGTAATCAGAATGCTTTAAATGTTAAATATCTGAATGTTCATAGTAAAGAACCTGAGGCCATCATACCTTTCCAAACTCTGAGATTTTCTGAGATTTAAGTGAATTATCTATGAAGGTACCTTTTGTTCCAAGAGAGAGAGACTGGTTTTCATCAGAACCTAAGAATGGCTCAGGTTCAGATGCTTTGCTCTAGCATTGCTGTGCAAAGCATTTGAGTGCCATTGAGAGGCACCTTTTAATCTTTTTCTTTAGTCTCAGTAAATTTTTAATTTAAAATGAAATTGCACCCATATCTTAATATATTTCCCTTCCCCCCTCTTTGCTGTATGTTTTGCAGTGCATTTTAACAGAAGATGGCCATCAGCATGTATATAAGAAGCTTTGTCTGTGTGCTGGAGCTAAACCAAAGCTGATTTGTGAAGGAAATCCATATGTGTTAGGGATCCGCGATACAGACAGCGCTCAGGTAACATTCTGAGGTAGGGCCGTGAGAAAGAAAGTGAAGTTTTATTAGTTCCTACATTTGATTCAAAATTTTCTACGTATAATTTAACCAAAAGTATCGCTGCCGATTTCCATTGATAATTCGTTTTTTAGTTCGTGTTGATGTTCTGTGTTCTTCCCATTATGATACACAGGTACCCTCACTATGCTAAAAGTTACAGTATACATTACTGTCACATTCATCACCTCTGCTTGGTTGGGAGTATGTAATTTGCCACCAAAACAATATAATCATCTTTTTCCAAGTAGGTAAAGCATATCCAAAACTTTCTGAACTTACTTTTCACCAGAGAAATTAATATTCAGAAGACCTATGTGGTATAGAATCATAACAGAATCATAGAACAGAAAAAGCTATTTGACTTACTGTTGTGCTAAAGGTCACTCATAAATTGCCCTAATTAGGATGAAACTTCATCTGTGGAACCTTGTACAACTTCTGCTTGTGTATTTTTGGATCTTTTGATCCCTTTTACCAAGAAGCTTTTCCTGTATTCCTGTCACAATACTTCATCTTATCTCAAGTTTGTTGTCTCCTAAAGTGATAACTATACATTTATGTAGTAATATTTACATTTCTAAGACTTAATCATGTTTTCTTTCAACCTGTTCTTAAATAATTGGGAATTTAGAGAGAGGTGAAGGACTTGATTATCGGGTCACTCTTGCGGTGGTAGGATCAGGGAAAAGGACCTGTTACCAATGACTGAGACCCTCATGAGGTTCCGTCTCAGCCCCTATATGTAAAGGATCCTCACTGGAATTCTGTGTGACAGTCATTACTCCCACTTTGCAAATTAGAAAACTGAGATGGGGAAATTAAGTAATATATCCCTATAAGTTTAGTAATTGGAAGTACAGTTTAAACTCCACATCCAGTGTATTTTACAGATCTCTAAAATTACTTCCCTCAGTGAAAAACAAACTCAAATGAATGTTATCTTCTTTGTAGAATTTGAAGAAGTCACTTCCAGTGATTGATTATTGAATATTACAATAAGCTTTTTAATCACTTAACAAGAATGGTAACTTGAAGTAAGAGGAGAAGGAAGTTCGCTATTCAGACCATCCTAGGGCAGTAGGTCGACCCAGTACTTTTGAAAGTGCATAAGAATGACCCTGTGATCACTGTCTTCTTATGGTCTTTGTGACCTTTTGGGGGGGAGTGGGGTATTGAGGCATTAGTGAGGTATCTTACAGTAGTAATATTATTTTCCAATAAATGTGAAGATGTTACGTGCCTGCTAATCTTAAATTTTACCTGCATCATCTTATTAAGTGTGGTGATACAAAATGCAAGGAAAATCAGTAGAGCCACTGCTATAAGGCAGTGTGGGGTAAAACATCAAGGGGAACATTTGTGATTGGAATGATACATACTGGCGGAGTATGAAAGTGAGATTTATTTTGTTGTCATTGTTAGGAATATGGATGAAGCTTCTTGGCTTCAAGAATTGCCCACTATTATAAAACAACAGTGTCATTTTCTTTTGAATACAGGAATTTCAGAAAAAGCTTGTTACAGCTAGAAGAATAGTAATCATAGGAAATGGTGGTATTGCACTTGAACTAGTGTAAGTATATATATTCTAATGTTATTTAAGAAATTTTCTGTGATTCATGTTGTTATTGGCAGACTGGAAAACATCTTGTTTGCCTGAAAATCATAAATATAACTTTTTTTCATGTGTTTACAGGGAAAAAATATTTAGCTTTCATGAAATTTGTAGTTGTAGACATGTTCTTCAAAAACAAGAATGTAAGGAATACTTAATAACTCCAGTAGCCACGGACTGGGGACTGGTTTGATTTAACTCATAGTTGTGTATTGAAAGGCAGTGGAAGTAGACAGTAGGTTTAAGTCCTACCAAACTACTTTTTATTGTTTACACCCATTCTTCTTCACTCATTAATGTTATTTGTCTGTCTAATGAAATCCAAAGTGTATTTGTGCATGTATTTCAGGATATGTGGCACTACCAACTCTTGATATTTTGGGAAATTTAGAACTGTGAACTTGTTAATAAAATGTAATCTTTGTAATATGGTGTTTCAAGTTCAAAAAAACTTTAAGTCTTAGTGATTTTCTCTTCTAGCTGGTATCTGTCATGAATAGTCTGGCTATTTTTTTACAGGGGTACAGGCCAGAGGCTCAGGGGTGGCGAGAGGATTCACCAGTGACAGAGTGGGGAGCAGAACAGGCAGATCAACGAAGTAGACTGCTGAGGGGAGCAGCGGGCGGGTCAGGAGAGGTCTGCCTCACCATATGGTCACCTCTGGGGCAGACGGGAATCGAACTCATGCGGAAGTGGCTTTAGCTTCTCAGCGCTGTGCTTTAACCCGCTGCGCCACCAGGGAGGGCCAGTCTGGCTATTTTTAAGATAGAAAAATGGGCAAATTTGTATCAAAGTAAGAATTTAGCTAAAGTCCTGTATACACTCACTTTCGTCCATTCCAACTCTCAGACTGGGATTTTGCCCCTTTCTTATAGCAAATGGTGAATCCCACTTTAAGAGTGAGGTGGGTTCTCAGGAGTGGTGATCACTAACTGGCATTTATGGCAGTGTACCAAGACTAGAGGAGCAACTAGAGTCAGCCAGTAGGCCTGCACAGGGGAAGCCTGTGACAGCTTTTCTCCCTCAGCTAGCAACAAAAGCATAACAATACTATTATTTACATTGAAAACTTTCTTATATCCAAAAATGTACAGGGTCTCACAACACTTAGTCCTGTCCCTCATATTCTTTAGGTTGGAGATTGAAGACTGTATAATTGGGTAAACTCATAGTTGTATATTCTGTAGTCAGACAGTTTAAGGAATGTCCACAGTGTAGAACTGCCTCAGTTTAGGCCCACTGAGTGGGTATTTTTATTCTACTCATGATATGAGTCACTGAGGCTAATCCTAATTTTCTTCAATATACTATCAGTTGTTATCTTAGTGTAGTGTATCTGGCCCCTTTCATTTTTTCATAATTTCACAAAATTACATTTCATTGGTATCCTTGAGGTGTGATTTTAAAAAAGAAAGCACTGTTTTGTCCATGTGTGATGATTCCTTCTTGCTTATGTATATTTCTAGGGCATATTTCATAGGCTGAGGAGATGAGAGGGTCTCCCGTAACTGCAGTCCCGTGAGTGCAGTGGCCTGCTGACCAAGCATCAGTATTATAAGCTACAGTGACATGTGTTATTCTGCTAAACTACTTTACAATACAAAGAATCACAGAGAAACTTCTAACTTATAAAAATTAAAGCATTTCACTCTGTGCATCTATGTAAATAGAAATACAGAATTAATTACCACATGTTTGTGTCTTCTGTTTTCTGCTCATCAGTAATGGTTGCCAACTTGAACAGAAAGCACTATTCTTAAAAAATTTTGGAATTCAGAAACTGTAAAATTCTCTGCTGCCATAGGAGAGCAGCAGTCATAAAAGCTCACTGAACAAGGCAACAGTCTTCACTTTATGCAGATCTGGAGTCATATTTACTGACTCTTTCTTATATAAGCAAGGCTCAGCATCTGCTTATTAGTGAAAAGTCATACAGCCTCATTTTGTCATTTTCTGTCAGTATATTCAATAAAGATGGCAAAATAAACACTGTACTCTAAGTGTGAAAATTTAATACGATTCTTTTATCGCTGTTGCAAGTTCAAGTAAATCCTAAGATAGTCAGGATGACCCTATCTCCTGTTTGTTCAGGATTGCCCCAGTTCTCATCAGTTGTTCCAGAACAAGTCTGCAGATAAATTATAGTGGACATCAAAGACTTTGGGAAATGAATAATTAAAACCACCATCGCAAAATGATGTAAGACTAAACTACTATATTATTTTAAAAAAAAATCCACCATTACAGTGTCCAAAGCTTGTTCATAGACAGGAATAGAAAATGGATTATATATATGAAGGCTGTTCCTTTTATCCTCTAAGACACTTGATTTTTCTGTGAACTGTGTATTGGCTAAGTGGTTTGGAAATCTCTGAGATGAAGAGCATTATTGCAAGATAATGGTTCCTTTGTAATAAGGTCAAAATTTTAGTTTATATCTCCAAATCTCTCCTTTTTATGTAATGCTGTCCTTTGAGTATGTAAAGTATTTTGTAACCAAAGAAGTCAGCTATGTATAAATGCTTCCATACATTATAATACTATAACCAGATTAACAGCCTTAGTCCTGGAAACTCCGGGGGCTATTCTAAAGAGCTGTGCTGTAGGAATTGAACATTTTGAAGTGGTGTTTATTGTACTGAAATTTTACGTCATTCTCAGTTCCTATATATTTGTCCCTTACATATTTGCTCAGTAAAGTGGTTAAAATTCTTCTGTTGCTTATTCTACTTTTATCTTGGAAAAAGTATTTATTACATCCTCTTTATAATCATTCTTTCTTATTTTGCCTTAAAATATTTTCTTTACTTTTGCCTCAGAGATCATTGTTGTTATTTGCAAATAGAAATTTGAAAATTTTCACTCAGACTTTTAGAACTGCTATGAGTAAATTGAATATTCTTTGTAGGTATGAAGTTGAAGGCTGTGAAGTAATTTGGGCCATTAAAGATAAAGCTATTGGGAATACTTTCTTCGATGCAGGGGCAGCTGAATTCTTGATATCAAAGCTCACTGCTGAAAACCCAGAGGCTAAAATTGCACATAAAAGAACCAAATATACAACTGAAGGTAAAAGTAACATCTAACTCATTTACTCATATGTGAAGCTGTTTCCTTTTTAACCATACAGAAAAGTTATAAGAAAATTTCACAAACTGATATATTTGGGAGATAGGCATATATATGATATTTATTTGTATATCCCTGTGTAACTTTAGGGTTTTTTTTAGGAAAAATACTTATAATTGAAAATGAAAGTATAAAGTGAATTAAACCAACCCAACTATAAGTAGATGTTACAGACAAAACCTAACATAACTTAAGCCATACAGTACTTTAGTTTAAAATAACTTTTTTTATTTAACCTTTGGCTTATAAAATTCTTGAATTTTATAACTAGGTAGTTAAATGTTATTTTCAAAATCTGATGGTTAATTCTCTCATTAACTAATGTGCATGCTATCCAACACTCAGTTGAGTGTTTATACTCAACAGTCGATTAAAAACTGACCTATTTTATAGGTTGCCATTAGAAAGTATCAAAATAATAAAATGATTAATAGAGCTAACTGTGTTTAGTCATGCTGTATCTGTGTATAAATGAGAATCATTATATTGCCTAAAATCTTCAGACACAAGCATGATTCTCTGCTCCTGACTTAAATTGTTTGAATTTTTGAATTCTAAATCGTTGAATTTTCTTCAGACAGGAAGAAGAAAGGAGAAACAACAGTGAATGCCGACAGTCTGGGCAGTGCTTTGGGGCCTGACTGGCACGAAGGCTTGAATCTTAGGGGAACAAAAGAGGTAAATTTTTATATACTGACTACACCTGTCTAAATGCAACTTGAAGTTCTTAAAATTTTTGTGAAAGACGAGTTATAAAGACACAGTCACGGAATTTCTAGGTCACGTTCCTTAACTCCCTGGTGTTACAAAAGGTCTTCACGGCAGCTTGACTAGTTGCCCACCAAAGATTGATTAATGGTAGAGTCACCTAAACCTGCCTCTCAGCCTCCTTTTGGAATCTACAGGATTAGAGATCTCCACACGCAGACTCTAGTCTCTCCTATTTTAAAGTCACATCTTCTCAGAAGTTACCATAGATGCTTTGTGAAATACTAAGGTTATTCGATTCTAAATAAGATACACACTTAATATCCTACCTGGAGAAACAAATGACTTGCTTTTACTCATTTTACTTTTGGAAATTTTAAGTTATTAAAATTTGGTTAAAAGATTGTGATATTTAATTATTGTGATACATACGTGCAGTTCTCATTACTATGTGTGATTACAGCTTTGGGTAAGTGGAAGGGAAGCTGGATTCATGTGTGTCTAATATTCCTGTTGGAAATGAGGCAAAATTATTTCTTCCTGAACCTTCAGATTCTAAGATTAATAGTAATTTTAGCCAGAGAACTTCCAAGTTCTTTCAGTGAACAATTACTATCTCATTCTTCCTTGGCATTTTATTAAGATTCAGGGATTTATCTCATTAACTAGTGTGCATGATATCCAAAACTCAATTGAACATTATACCTGTTGATAATACCTGTCCTCGAAAGTTTTTTCTCTGAGTTGTAATTTAAAACCATGTAGCCATGGAATTATCAATGAATCTTCTATTAAAAGGCACCTGAGCTACCTGCCAGTGCAGCCACTCGCTGTCTTTGTGCCTATGGTTACTCTTTACACCCTGTATGCACAGAAATTGAAAGGCTTATTTTGGGACATGTGATGTGTTCTTTTGTTTTGTTACTACAAATGTATTATAAATTTTCCTTCATCATCATAAATCATATTTTTCTGAAAGTACAGTGACCAGTATTTCTTTATTTTAGTTTTCTCGTAAGATTCACATTGAAACTGTGTGTGAAGTAAAAAAAATCTACCTTCAGGAAGAATTTAGAATTTCTAAGAAAATGTCTTTAAATTTTCCTGAAGACCATCATAATCAGTCTGTTAGAACTGACACAGGTAAGTAATAAATAAGAAAATACATATATTATAACCACTTTTAAAAGGAGGGCAGTTTAATCTTGCTATATTATTAAAATCTTCAGGTTTCCATACAAAATTTAAAATTAAAATCAGGGCCCTTCCTGGGTAAAGCACAACACTGTGAAGCTATCAGCAGCCACCTTGGCGAGAGTTTGATCCCCTGCCAGGGAAGTGACCTATGTGGTAGAGCAGACCTCTCCTGACCTGCCTGCTGCTCCCCTCAGCAGTGTACTTTGTCAGTCTGCATGTTCTGCTCTGTCTCTGGTGAATCCTCTCACCACTCCTGCACCTCTGGCCTGTACTCCAGTACCATATGCGTAAATAAATAAAAATTTTTAATGTAAAAATAAACCATAACTTAATAATCAAATTATTTCATTTCACTACTTAATTCGTTCAGTTTTGTAGTAAATTACCGTTTCACATTTCACATAGGACTCATGGTATTTTGACCATCACAACCCTGTGAAGCAATCAGAATATCTTACAGATTAAAACAAAATAAATAAAACCAATATTCTCAGAGGTGAAGTGACTGTCCCAAATCAAATCAAAAAATCTCTAAATGTGGGACTATGAAACAGATTAAATTCCTCATCTACCATGAGGACTGTCCTGGATTTGTAATATACTCAGCCAAACTAGTGTGACATAGGGCCAGTAAGGAATACACTGAAAAGTAAGTGGCCTAATTCAGCTACAATCTGTTAATGGACTTCTAAAGAAATAACTTATAAAGTGATCAGTAAATTTATTGTGTTAGATTTCTGTGTTGAAATTTAAAGAAAAAGATTTAGGGAATGCCATTCTTTTGTTAGTTATACCCAAAATAATGACATAGTGTTGATTCTTTTAGAATTTATTTTAATGGATGTGCTTTATAAAATACTTTTTGAGAGATGCTGTTTTATATTTACTTCTGCTTTTTTCTTTGTTATAGTCATTTTATGTATATGTGTGTGTTTGTGTATGTATATGTATAGATATATATGTAAGTTTATTGTTTGTTTTTAAGAAATTTGGCCTGTGTATGTGGAATTAACCAATGGAAAGATCTATGGCTGCGATTTCATTGTCAGTGCTACAGGAGTAACACCAAATACAGAACCTTTTGTCAGTGGCAACAACGTAAGGTGACATCTTTGTCCCACTATGACTATTTTAAACTATTTTTAAAGATCTCTAGTTCTCAAAAGTATTGTTTTAGTACAAAGTTGTAGTTTAAGTTGACTGGAAAAAATTTAGTTTATATTCATGTCTTGACTTAAAATATTTACTGCTCAAAGTCCTTAAGCACTCATGTGAATCCCAGCATGAGTGCTAATATTAGTGGAACAAAATGCCATTTAGGTTGGTAAGAGAGTGACACCTGCTATAAATTCTTAGAAGTGATTCTTCTTGACAAACTGTGTTGTAGTTTTGCTTTTTAGCATTTGAAACTTATAAAAATATCTTTTTGCAATTCTGCATGGCTTAGTCACATGGTTACTAGGTATTGATGTTGAAATTCTTGAGAATTTTATGGGTTTATCTGGAGTTAATTGATATTTTGTTTCCTAATCAGCTCAGTTGTCTAACTTTGCAGCTGTTTTTCATTAAATATCAATACACCAAGATACAAAATTTGACTTGCTGCGGTTACTTTAGAATACAGAAGTCATGTTTTTTTGTTTTTACTACTGTGCTTATGAGGAACACTGTTTAGTTTGATCTAGGAGAAGATGGTGGCTTGAAAGTGGACGATCATATGCACACCTCCATTTCTGACATCTATGCTGCAGGTGACATCTGCACAGCCGCCTGGCAGCACAGCCCCTTCTGGCAGCAGGTAAGCCAGCACTTGGGCTCACTCCAGAGATCCCAGAAAGCATAGGAGTTGCTAGGGACAAGGCCAGCTTCCCAGTGTTCCAACTTGTCTATATGACATATAGTAAAAGATGTGTGCGTTTTTTTTTTTTTTTTTTCCTGGCAGCATTAGAATTCTTCCCTTTGGTAATTTATGTAGTTACTTTAAGGAAAAACAATTTTTTTTTTATGCATACAGAACTGGGGTACAGTCCAGAGGCACAGGGGTGGTGAGAAGCTTCTTCAGAAACAGACTGGGTAGCAGAACAGGACGACTGACGAAGTACACTGCTGAGGGGAGCAGCAGACGGGTCAGGAGAGGTCTGCTGTGCCATGTGGGTCACCTCAGGGGCTGGGATAGAACTCATGCTGAAGTGGCTTTAGCTTCTTGGTGCTGTGCTTTAATCCGCTGCGCCACCAAGGAGGGCCCCTATGTAGTTACTTTTAACTTGAAAAGAATTCTCCGCTATTTGTCATTCTCAGTGTCCATCAGCACTGTGCATTGGAAGTAGATGATAAAGTTCTTCACTGCTACAGTGTTCAGTCAGGTAACCACTAGCTACATGCCTGTTAACACTTGAAATGTGGTTAATGTGACTGAGTGACTGAATTTTAATTTTGTTGAATTCATTAATCTTAGCTACATTTACCATATTGGATACTGCAGTTTTTGATTAAAAAGATAATAAGCCATATAGATAAAGCATCCTGTTTCTGCTGACCCTGTGGAAGTGGAAATAAAATTACTATAGCAAACTTCTTCCTCAGCCTGACAGCTCCTTCCAGCTGTATCTAGACTTCTTCCTGCCTTCACAGTTACCTACCTCCTAATTGTGGAGCCAAAATACAGCTTGGACAACACAGGAGTTCTTGGCCCTGGCCCCACACAGTCAAAAATCTGCCTCTTAACTTTTTAAGAGCAGAAAAGTAAAGGACACTTGCATAGTCACAAATGGGCAGAAAGCTGCCCCTACAGGGATAGGTTTGCTGCGAAGCCTCCATGGTTGCAGGTGGACAGCCTTGAGGAAGCTGCCTCTGCTGAGGGAGATCACTGAAAAGCCCCTCTGTGGTACAGGTCACAGCAGGAGGCTGCTGCCCTGCAGAGGAAGTGTTGGTGAAAGAAGCACCTGCATAATCACAGGTGGGCAGAAGAACTGCTGCCCTGCCTATAACTTAACTCCCCGATAATTACTGAACAGCCTACAGTTGACTAGAAGCCTTACCACTAACATATTTTTATGTTAATATGTGTTATTTACCGTATTTTAAAATGAAATAAGCAAGGGAAAAAAGTGTCATTCAAATCAGTAGAGTACCTGTATGGTACTGTACTGGATTTTTCAACTCTGTACATTCAATTGTGTTTACAGGAAACACCACTTGTTGTTCAGGGTCAGCCGTGCTATAGGAATCTCCCCCATGGCCAGAGACAGGTTAGGTGTTCTGGAGAAAAGGACTAGCCATCACTTATGTGGGAACAAGACCAGCTTCATAGGTAGGGCTAGAATTCATTCAGATTAACCATGGATTGTGAAGCAGTGGAAGAGCTAAATGTATTTTAAAAGACAGCTTCACTATTTTATGTTTTCACTTAACAGGGATATCAAGGATAAGATTGTCTCTAAAATGCTTCAAATTAGCATGTTTTCTCTATAATCATTCTATTTATGGCATATCTATCACAAACTCAATTAAGAATTGGCATTGATGGGATTTTTCAAAGTTTTTACTGAAGTATTGTGGTTTTACCACACTAAGTTTTAAGAGTAAAACTTGATAAATGCTGGTACCGCACAACTCCCATCACCAAAAAGGTCTGATTACCATTCACCACTATTCAGCTGACCCCCCCTCCCCACCCAAGTCTCCCACCCACCATCCCAACCCCTCCGGTAGCCACCATTCTGTAGTCAGGGTCTAAGGTCTTGTTTGCTTCATTTCTCTATATTCCATGAATGAAATCTTTTTATCTTTCTCTTTTTAAATTATTTTGCTTAGAATAATCCTCTCACGCTCCATTGCACAAGGCAAGTTATCTTTTTTTTTTTCTTTTTTAGCTGAGTAATATGCTTCAGTTTATATATACCACCGTTTTTATTCAACCATCCATCAATGGACACTTAACATTGTCTCCACGTCTTGGCTTTAATGACTACTGTTACAAACAACATAGTACAGTCTGTGTCTCCTTAATTGCTGTTTTCTTATTCTCTGAAGTTGAACTACTGGATTGTATGGTATATTCTATTTTTAGAGGAATCACCAGAATGTTTTCCATAGTGGCTGAGCCACTCTTCCCACCAGCAGTGTACAAAGGTTCCATTTTCACCACATCCTCATCCACACCTAATGTTCCTCATCAGCTAGTCAGATCCTCTGTGATTGTGATTTTCACTTCCCCAATAAGCATTTTTTTCATGTACATGTTGGCCCCTTGCATATGTTCTTTGGCGAAATATCTGTTCAGATCTTTTGCCCACTATTTCATTGGGTTTTTATTTTTGTTCACTTGTGAGAGTTCCTATAGATTTGGGTATTGTATTCGTTGAGGAATGAACTAGGGTATGTCTCCATTTCTTTGTGTCTTTATTTAACAATGCTTGTTTTCAGTGTATAGGTCCTCCTTTGTTTTTTCCTAGGTTTTATCTTTTTTGATGCAGTTCTAATGGGTAACTTAAATCTCTTATGGTTTGCATGGTTTACAATAAATCTTATATAGTAGATGTATAGCCCACCACTTTACTCATTGTTTCTAACAGGTTTTTAGTGGAATCTTTTGGGTTTTCTAAATAATACATCAAGTCATCTACGGATAGTGCTAGTTTTACTTCATTTAAAAAAAAACTTATTATGCATATACGAGCTGGGGTGTAGCTTCATAGTGCTGAGACTTAACCCCTTGCACCACAGGGAGGCCACTAGTTTTACTTCTTTCCAATTTGTACTTTTTTTTAAGATTTATTTATTTATGCATACAGAACTGGGATACAGGCCAGAGGTGCAGGGGCAGTAAAAAGATTCACCAGAGACAGAGTGAGGTCAGGACAGGCAGATCGAGAAAATACCCTGCTGAGGGGAGCTGCAGGCAAGACAGGAGAGGTCTGCTGCACCATGCGTGTCACCTCCAGGGCCAGGGATCAAACTTGAGCTGAAGTGACTGCAGGTAGCTTAATGGTACTATGCTTTCTTAACCTGTTGTACCACCAGGGCGGGCCTGGATTTTTTTTATTTTTCATGCCAAATTGCTCTGGCCAGGACTTCAAAACTATGTTGAGTATTACTAATAAAGAATGGACATCCTGTCTTACTCAGATTTTCAAGGAAGTTTCCAGTTTTCACCACTGAGCATGGTGTTAGATGTGGTTTTTCATAAACAGCCCTTAAATTTATTTAGGGTATATTTCCTCTATGTACCTTGTTGAGTTTATCATAAATGGGTATTGGGTAGTATATTTTACATAAATTCTATCTTAATGTGTCACACTGATATAGAAACAAATGTGTTTTGATTAAATTTAGTAAACCCCTTAAACTGCAGAAGCATTTATTTTAAAATGTCTAAGACACAAACTTAAGGGTCTGTGAGGCTGCAAAACATTAGGGTACTATTCCAGCTGTGTAATACCATGGGCCACTTCCAATAGTCATTCTGTAGTTTTTACTGTCCTCATTGTACTTTTATATAGACTCAGCTCCCTTATCATAGACTGCCTTTTCTGTCATTGTAGCTACTTTGTTTACAGAAGAGAAAATAAAAGGAGGAACTATTGTAGTTGTAAAATTAAAATGACTTCCAGAATCAGCTGCTGAAACCTGATATGATATTTTGGGGGCTGGGCACCAAACAGTATTCCCCTGGCCAGCGAAGTTTATTTGCATGGTAGGACTAAAAGTGAGGGTTAGAAGAAAGAACACACTTTTCAGTTACAATTAAAATTTTATTCCCACCTCTTGTAGCCTGGAGTTATTTTAGTAATTTTTAATAAAGTCTAGGTATCATATCATCCTTTAATTTTGAGTAACTTAGCTAGAATTGCCATATATCAAATTCCAGTTGATTTGTGTGAAATAGTGACTTCTGTGGCAAAGATGAGCCAAACAGTTCTCAAACTGGCTAGCTCTATTTCTCATGGCCTGTAAAACATTGAATTCCTGTAAAGAATTTTACATGGCTAAGGTGGCAACTTTATTTCTATTTCAGATGAGGCTGTGGACACAGGCCAGACAGATGGGCTGGTACACAGCCAAGTGCATGGCTGCAGATGCTTCAGGACACTCTATTGACATGGATTTCAGCTTCGAACTTTTTGCTCATGTGACAAAATTTTTTAACTATAAGGTAAAGTAAGCAAATTAGCATCTAACTTTCATTGGTACTTCTCATTGCTGATCTTATTACCTACCTTTCCGCTATACTATTTTATAGTAAAGAGAGAAATCTCCTCCAGATTTGTTCCCTGTTGGAGTGTTTCTAAGTTTTGGAATTCGTTCTTAGTGAGAGGAGTGATCATACTCAAGAATGAACCAGGTGTCCTCCCCCATACATTGTCTTACTCCTCTTTGTTACTGAAGCTGGACTTTTTCCTTCCTAACTTGAACAGAAAGAGAAACATACATACAAGGTCAAGGGAGATTAAATCACCTGCCCAGTAATTATATAACTCTTTAACTCAGTTTATTACTAAATCTTGAAATCATGGCTCCAGGCCATTGTAGTCCACATTCTGCATATTTATATTGTTGATATTTGTGTGGTTGTGCCATCTATAGAATATATGAGTGCCATTTAGCTGTTATCTTTGGGACCCTCGGAATGAGAGGGTTTGTGGTTTGTGGTATGTACTCATGTTTCCTTTTGACATTTTTTCTATCCCTCTTTGTATAGGTTGTGTTGCTGGGAAAATACAATGCACAAGGTTTGGGTTCAAATCATGAATTAATGCTGAGGTGTACCAAAGGACAAGAATACGTTAAAGTCGTCATGCAGAATGGGCGAATGATGGGAGCTGTGTTAATCGGTGAAACTGATTTAGAAGAAACATTTGAAAACTTAATCTTAAACCAGATGAATCTGTCATCATATGGAGAAGATCTATTAGATCCAAATATTGATATAGAAGATTATTTTGACTAAAGTGGACATTACAGGAAACACAAAATTTCACATAACACAAAGTCACAGTAGAGTATGTGCTGCACTGATTTTAATGAAGACTGACATTGAAACTAAAAATACAGGCATGTTAATGATTCAGTGAAAGTACTAAAAAGATGACGGAAGTAAATAATTTATACATTTTTAAATACAAAATGGACCATTTGCTATGTGAGAATTTAAGTTATTTTCAAATAAATGTATTTTAAATTTAAGCACATGTGTGATTTGGCTGGGTATCTTTGGTTAGTAGATCAGAGTCATTCTTTGATTATAAAATATCAAGACAGGGATGTGACTTCAAGAACATTATAATTTTATTTAAACAGATGTAGCACTGTCATGCTTGCTAGTATTTCTGATACATTATTCTTTTACTAATATTTGTAATTGATACTTTATGCCCTTTTTTAGATTCTTCTAACCTGAAGTCACTTTCTGTTATGAGCCTCCATGAATTTTCATTATAATATTTGATATACAACTAGCTATAGCTATGCAAACTTCAAGTTTTTACATTTAGGGATTTTGCGTAAAATAAAATCCCCCTTTTTTATAAAATAATGTAATTCATGATCTCAAATGTTAAATGCCTCAGAGGAAAGAAAGTTCAGAAATACAGTTCCACATGTATAAAATATCTCAAACATCAAGTTTTCTCTTCTTAGCTCCTGTTTTCTTAGAATCAGATTGAAGTCTGTTTGCAGGCTTCTGGAAGTTACCTAGACCTTTTCCTTCTTTCTTATCAGCTCCTTCGGAATGACAAGTTTGAGAGGATTCAGTCTACAAAATAATAAAAGTGAGCACTGTTAAACATTCAGCTATTCTATTTTAATAATCTCAGTGAGTATGTGAGTACTCAGTAGTTTGCTTTTTAATCTTTCAATTTCTACTTAAATTTGAGTTCTTCTTAAATAAAGGGCTGTGCTGCCAGAGAAACCCTAGTCATACGTTCATGGCATGCTGTGTAGGCTTTGCAGAATTTCATGAGTAAAACAGGCAGACTTCCCAACCAGTATCATAGGGATGGGCTGCATTACAGAAATAGACAGGAAAACGGTGCGTGTGTGTGTGTGTAAATGGAAGGCCAGTCTCAAGTCCCACACCCCAAATCTACAGATAACTTATCTCATGTTCAGCTGACCTAGGAGAATGAATATTAAAGAAAAGCACTCTGTAGGCTTTAATGTGCGTTTCTCAATTTAGTAGTGAATTACCTGGAAACAGCTCTGTTTGGGCTTCTTCACTTGCATGGTGATAACATGTGCCTCACCATTCAGAAGATGAGCTTTAGGTCCTATTTTCAAATATGAAATGGTGGCATAAGCTGTAAAACTGTAGTCTTCTCTGCAAAAGATAAAGAGTAACAATCAGGTTTTTAAAACAGGATAAAAACTGAAATTCGTAAAAAGTTTAGGTGTCGTGACTCATAAGTAGTGATTTTAAGGAACATTGATATGTGAAGGTTAAGACATAAGGATGAATAGAAAATACTGTTTTGGGGGTTCTTTTTTACATTCCTTGCAATTATAAAAAGTGAACAAGGCATCAGGCAACAAGAAAACCAAAAAATGGGTTTGTTTATACTTAAGATACTGCTGTAGAAGAAAATGCGCGATCATTTTCTCCAGGTCTTCCCGAGGAAGTGTGGGAGGAGCCAGGCCTGCTACTCGCAGTTTCGCTGCCCCCTTCCCCAGCCAGGAATCCATCAATTTCAGTGGGGTGAGTTTTTCATTCAGTTCCTCTGCTTGCTTCAGGATCTTGATTAGGTCTCTGCAATGTTCTGTTACATTCTTTCTTTCAAGTGCTATCATAGAGGAGACAGTTACAGAGTTGGGTTAGAAACTGGGCAAAGAGGCTGTCCTAAATGGCCTGACTAGTTTAAATCTAGGCATTGTGAGTCACCCTAAACACTGATTTGTTAATGTGCTTACAATTAAGGCAAACCTCTTCCTCAAGTCTCTGGGACTTTCAGTGAAATAAATAACCTGGTTAGGGCCTCCCTAGTGGTATAGGGGTTAAAGTCCAATTGTCAAACTGTCACCAGCCACTGCAGCATGAGTTCGATCTCCAGCCAGGGAGCTGACCCACATGGCGTGGCAGACCCTCCTGTCTCGTCCACTGCTCCCCTCAGCAGTGTATTTCAGTCAGTCTGCCTGTTCTGCTCCCCTCTCTGTCTCTGGTGAATGCTCTCACCCCTCACACACACACACACCTCTAGCCTGCACCCCAACTCTGTATGTATAAATAAATAAATCTTCTTTTTAAAATACCATGGATAGAAATCCTCTACTGTAAGAAACCAGTACTCTGATCTTCGATCAATTTGTTAGTCAGCAAAAGACAGACGAACTTGTGAACAGCTTTCTCTTGCTGCACCCATAAGGCATCAGAACTCAGGAAGGCTTTGCGTTGGGAACTGGTTAGGCCAACTCGCCAAATACAGCACATACTCACAGGGTCCAACACAGCATCAAAACTGCTAAGCTAGTGTTGAGGAGCTGCTGCCTGGATCAGAATAATTCACTGTAATCGACTTGGACTAAATTTCACTTTCCAGCTAAGGTATTAAATTATCATGAGGTTAGTCTTTTATATATATATATATATATATATATATATATATATATATATATATAAAGAACATCTAATTCAGAGCAATTTATAATTTTTCCTGCATTTCTTTAAAATTTCATTTGTGTTCAGTATAACAATATAAAATCTATGGCTTTCCTTATAGTTAAGTCCTCATTCAACATTGTAGTTAGGTTATTGAAACTGCAACTTTAAGCAAAACGAACAACAAATCATGAAAACAATTGAATCATGGGCCAGTTGGTACAAGAGTTAAGCTGCAGTGGTATATTTGTGGTCACAGAAACATCAACAAACACTGAAAACACGTTTAATATTAAACAGAAATTTGTATTTATTCACTCCTTTTTTAACCCACGCATTCCAGGGTCTTGGGTGTCAGAGCCTACCCAGCAGCCCAGGCCACCAGTCAGCATCTAGCAGGGTGCTACACTCACTCCGTGGACAGTCATGACATGCCAAGGAACCCAAGGAGGGCCCAGAGAAAACCCACACAGCCATGGAAACCACATGCAAACTTCAACACAGCAGCTCTGGCCAAGAAGTGCTGTTCTAAAAAAGTGTCCAAGTGACCTTTGTTTCCATACTCTGGAGCAACTTCTGAATCTGACTCACACCCTGTGTAACATTTTTAATCCATTTGAGGGTCTAATGTGCCCTCATGTAGTTCTAATTATACAGTAGCCTATAAAGGTTTAAAAAAAGAAAAAAAACTCACCAATGTCTTTACAGCAGTTATCACACATTTTGTTACACTCTGCAGAGTCCCACACTTCATCAAAATGCTGAGCTATCAATACACGCCGACATCTGTAAACGCATGTGGAGATGCAGACTAATAAATGAACTGATAAAGTTGTAAGAATCGATTTGAAAATAAAAGTTACGTTTTGTAAGTCTCCATTGCTGCCATAACATAAACACAAACTTGGGTGGCATTGATATGTGAAGGTTAAGACATAAGGATGAATAGAAAATACTGTTTTGGGGGTTCTTTTTTACATTCCTTGCAATTACATTGTCTTACTCCTCTTTGTTACTGAAGCTGGACTTTTTCCTTCCTAACTTGAACAGAAAGAGAAACATACATACAAGGTCAAGGGAGATTA